AAACTCATTCTTACAGTAGGGCTTTGCAGTACTTGTTCCCTCTGCCTACAAAGATCACCACCCTGATGTTCACTTGACTGGCTCTTTCTGATCATTCACCTTAGGCTCTAATGGAGGAAACTTCCTTAATGAGTCAGTAATTGTCCCATCAGTCCAGCACTTACCAAGATCTCATGATTTCCTTGTTTGTTTATTAGGATTTTTTGACCTATCCTCCCCCAATGTCTTATCTCTAGTATCAAAAACTATTACTGGTATACAGGAGGAGCACAGCAATTGCTGAAATGTCACAGGGATTAATCTAATAAATTGCTAGCATTATTCATTAGTATAAACCTATAATCATCACTCAAAAGTAACATGTGTTTTAGAATCAAATTCAACCAAAAAAGAAACCATAATTTCATAGCATACTCAAAAAATGGCAGTTGACCTAGTTATCTTGATAATTCAGAATCCAGTAGGAATTTGGGGCCTCATTAATTTGGATATTTCAGGCAAAATGCCCTTTTCAGTTTTAAATTATCTCAATTATCACTCTAATACTCCTCTAAACTTTATATATGCAATCACTGTCTTAGACATACTTGTAAAATCTTTCATGTACTTCCAAGCGACAAATTTCAGTTTCAGACCCAAAACACGGAATACTCATACCACATACCTTCCACAGCAAATTTTCTAAATTGATGTTTTATAGTTCATTCCAGTAATAACCACTTTCATAATCCATAAGGTCATATGTATTAGAGAAAACTCACTCAGCATAAAAGAAAAATTGTTATTTCTATCTTATATGAAGAAGTGAGTGGGTGGGCGGGCGTGAATTGGCTATTTTGGATTATGAACAATCTCCTTACATAGTTATCATTGTGATGAGGTCACATATTATGAATGGCTTAGTTCTAATACTGCCTTGATAGGTACTGTCCTTCTGAAACTATGATCTTAATTGAGTGATAAAGGCCCATTGCAAATTTAGATGGAGAGGCAGCATATACTTTTTATCTAGGAACACCCTTATTTTTTTATAAGGTTAGAAATTGTTTTGAGGTTTGCACCTAGGGTTGAAACTGTTTGTATGCCATGATGGATAAAAAGGAGTCTTGTGTACTAATAGCTCCTTTACAAGAGCCAGTTGGTATACTCGTTACCATGGTATACTTAAAGCTCCAATGAATGAAATTCTGTGGGTACTAACTTAACTAACTTGCAAGAGAATTATTTTATGGTTTGCAGAAATATGAAGAAATAGTTATTCTTCTGAAAATATTTTAATAGTGTTTTTTCTTATTATTCTAAACAATGTTTATTATTGTCATTCAAATCATTATGCTGTCATATTGTTTTTTAAAATTCATAAATGCAGGGCCGGCCCCGTGGCGCACTCGGGAAAGTGCAGCACTGGGAGTGCAGCGGATGCTCCCGCTGCGGGTTCGGATCCTATATAGGGATGGCCGGTGCGCTCACTGGCTGAGCACGGTGCGGGTGACACCAAACCAAGGGTTGTGATCCCCTTACCGGTCACAAAAAAGGACAAAAAAAAAATTCATAAATGCAGAAAGTCTGAATAGCACCTAGTTTATTTTCTTAATATAAAGTTAGGCAAATTATCTTGTTGTTTCAATAGTTATTGCAAAAACTTCAAACGTGTTAAACAAAATTGATTCAAGAGCCTATTACGTTTCAAGAACACTGGTGAGACTCTGTGGCAATAGAGTTGAAAAGTATTACTCTTTCCCCTTCATCTCTTTTATTACTTTTTTTATAGTTGGAAATACTTCACAAATATTGTGTTTCTGCTGTTAAGGTTTATATCCACATTTTGAGACATATTTTTTTATAATGCCTTCGCATATTATATCACAGGTTTCTTTGGGGCAGAAAAATAATAGTTTGTCCCTTTTTGCTCACAAAAGGGCATCTTTATGGGGAAAAAAGCATCATTAGAAAATTCTCTTGATGTAACATCTTTAGAATCTTTTGAAAGGCTGTTGGTATGGTAGCTACTTTAAAAACTTTAATAAAAGACATGTTTCCATCTATCACTTAAGCTAGAAGTGTACGTGCTGAATATGGATAATGTTGGTGGAGGGGAATGAATCGGCTTTCACTATTACACTGGGGAAAAACTGCAATATTACCCTTAGTCATCAAATTCCCTTGCATAATTTGGAAAATGTTACCTCCAGAAATTTTCATTTGGGACAGAAATAATGAACATAATAATTTGAATAATTTTCAAATCACTTATAGTTTTTGAGTACCTGTCAATTACCAGGAACTGTGTTAGGCACTTAATGGACTACTGAAATTTGGATGGGTACATTCTTCCCTCGTTACTTCCCAGAAGACTTCCCTGGTTATCAAAGAACAGGCTCCATGTGCCTGTATTTGGCCTGTTGAAATATTTATCACAGTCTGTTGTAACTGCCTTTTCACTTGCCTATCTTTCCCATTAGACCACAAACTGCAAGAGTTCAGGTTTTAGGTCTGCCATATTCACTCTCTCCTGTATCCTGAACATCATAGGTACTTAGTCCCACATCACAAATATAACAGGTGCTGTATAAATATTTATTAATTGAATAATTATCGGTGTCCAGAAAGTAAATCATTCTTTTAGGGACAGGATCATAGGGAGGAATGATGATGTAAAAATTAGAAGGTTAATTTACTATTAAATTTATGAATTTTCCACACACAATCTCTTTAAAAGAAAATGTCTGTCAGGTAGCATGCAAATTTTCTCCCTAATAGCTAACATCAGTTGAATACTTATTTGCTACTCTGAATGAAAGTGTTTTTATACATTATCTCGTTAAATCTTCTCAATGCCATACAAAATCATTACTAACCTTAATCTTCATTGACCTTTATTTTACAGATGAGGGAAATGAGGCTTAGAGAGAATAAGTAAGGTCTACAGTCTCATAGCTAGTGAGTATCCAGTACAGATGTTAACTCTGCTCTTTCTTATTTCCAGAGCTCAAGTTCTGAGTCGATCAATACTTGGAATATCATCTTAATCTAAAGGGAAACTCAGAGAATTTAAATAATTTCATGAGGACACACAACTAGAACATGACAGAATGCAGTTATTAAACCAAATTTGCACAGCTCCAAAGTCTGTGTGGTTTTAATACAGGCCATTGCCTCCTTTCCTTTAATAATAAATGCATTTTTCACAGATGCGATAACCAGGGACCAAGCACTGTCCTGATTATGCTGAGCAGATCATGGTCCTAAACGGTGTCTCTTGACAATTTCTTAAGAAAGAACTGTTACATTTAGGTTTTTGTTTTTAGTTAATCAGAGTAATAATCTTTAGGTAAGACAATTTTTGACTAATTTTTCATTCTATTACTCTTATATCTGCCTTGATTCTACACTTTATTAATGATACCTAGAAGAAAAGAAACTTATGGGGGGAAAAAAGAAGAAAACTATTTGAATAAAGATGATGCTACAGTGCCTGTGGAAGGAATTCAGTATTCTCTTATGCTTAAGAAATTCTGTGGAAGCCAAGTCAAACATGGGAAATGTATTATGTGCTAAAAAAAAAAACAAGGTACTTAGGCCATAGGTGATGCATTATTTCAGCATCTATGGAGTATGATACTATGTCTTGCTTAAATGGGAAGTTTTGCCATCCAACGGGTTCTATTACAGGACATGCTGTTGATGCTTTTTTTTTTTTTTTTTAATTCTAGAGTCTCAAGTTCCTGATCAGCCAAGCTCTCTTCATGTGAGGCCTC